TGGTTTCTGAAGAGTCTCTTATATTACTACACGTTCACGTTAGGTTCGTTTCACATGTCCTCAAAGTACTGCACTGTCGCCATGTAGCCATATTGATTTATGAAGAATAATTTTACGGCCGGGATAGCCCAGTCGGTATAGCGACTGGCTAGCGGCTGGACGACCGAGGGGTCGGAGTTCGAATCCTGATGGGGGTTAGAATTTTCACTTCTCCATATCTTCCAGACCGGTCCTGGGGTCCACCAAAATTCCTACCCAACGGGTACCGGAGGCCCTTTCCCTAGGGGTAAAGCGGCAGGGACTTGAAGCTGAGCACTCACCTCCAACTAGTGCCGAGGTCAAGAAAATATGGGTCTATACATCCACTCCCCCATACGCCTTCATGGAATACTGCATAAGATGTTAAGCACAGGGACAACTTTACCTTTTATAGTATATTGAAAAAGTCGGGATAGCTCAGTACAGCGAGGGGCTGCTGGCCTGATGGCTGGGGTTCAATTCCCGGCAGAAGCAAAATTTGTCTCTGCTCCAGTGTCCAGACCGGCTCTTAGGTTCATACAGCCTCCTGTCGAGTACTCGGAGGAAACTTGCCCCAGTGCCACTTTGTCCATCACAAATCCCACTTGACCAGACCCGGGATCGAACCCGGGCCGCTGCTGCGGGAAGTCGGCGACTAACCGCCTGAGCTATGGCACGGCCAATTCTAAGGATTAGTTGAACTGACACTGCCTAAAATTCTGGTGATAATGGACACTGTCGGGGCCGAAGGAGGTGGGAGGGTTTGCCTCATTTTATGTTTCACAATAAAACAGCTTGAAACGTGAGGCACCCAATAAAACGATTTTGCAGAATTACAGTCCTTTTACATTCAACTCCTGTCCTGACATACCTTCCCATTCGTGTAGTTTTATGAATCGTAAATGCATCTTACTGGAGAGGCTGAGGTGCGGGCCTGCAGACTCCAGCATCACGTAACATAGACTTTCTGCAAAACTGCTTCAGTGGACATGACAACTCCATTTTGTAGACTGCTCACTTGTGTGAAATAAGGAGCAACTCAGGTCATATCCTTTTCACAGCCCAATATATTACGTTGATGCGTTTATATCTTCATTCAGTCTTGAGAACAATGCGGCAAGTGGAAACAGTAGCAATCAACACTGTGCTGGTAATAAGGCATTTCAAAACAAAATGCTGAGGTGGAGTTCCGAAAGAAAGTACAGACGAGATCCTATAGAGTAAGTTTAAAGTCTTCCTTACACTTAATAAATTAAGCTCCACGCAATGAAGACGTATGGAGGAGTGGATGTATAGTTCCACACTGCTTGGCCTCGGCATTACACGGAGGTAAGTGGTTAGTTTCGTACCCTTGTCGCTTTTATGCGCAGAAAGCGTCACCGTGGATACGCGGTGGATAGGAGGTTGGGTGGACCCCAAAGCCTGTCTGGACGCTGTGGAGGAAAGAAAAATCTCTTGTTCCTGCCGGGAATATCACACAAATTCCTAGACTGCCCAGGTTGAAGGGTAGTCGCTATACTGACAAAGTCTACATGCCACAGTATTACTGATAATAGTTAAATTGGATAAGTCTAATGATTCACAGTCAGACGTTAATTTGTTCAAAAGTTATTTAGAGGCAAACCCATAGACATATAAAAATGTGAGTTTCTGTAAGCACACATGTATTTCATTATCAGAGAAGGAAAGTGGAACATAAGGCACTTTATCCGAAAAACAGATGACTAACTATCACGAAAGTCTCATCTTTCTGCGTTTCTTACTTTTCTGAGAAACTTCGATAATTTAACTTGTCTTCTTTTATTTACACCCCTTACTTTCTTCTTACGCCTTGGTCCAGAGTTAGAAGTTCTAAGCCCAACAAAAAAGTACAGGCTACCGCTTCTACTTCGATCTTCTGCAGTATATAATTGCTTTTGTTCCAACTAAACGTCTTTGCTGCAGGGGTTTCTCCGTCACATTTTAGAAAACTCACGATATTCTGAGAGTGACTGTCTCATAATATTTTCAGGTATCACACTAATGTAAGTAGCCCGGATAGCTCAGTCGGTATAGCGACGAGCTGGAAGGCCGGGGTCCGATTCCTGGCAAGGGTAAGAAATTTGTCTCTTCTCTACAGCGTCAAGACCGGCTCTAGTGTCCACACAGCCTCCTATCCAATGGAAATAGGAGATATTTCACAGAGGATAAAGCGGCCGGCGCGTGAAGCTGACCACTCACTCACATCAAGTGCCGAGATCAAGAATGGTGGAGCTATATATCTATTCCCCGTACGTCTTCATGGTGCCTAATTAAGTATAGGAATAACTTTACTTTTGTATTATATAAAAGTACTGAAGCTGATGCAGTTATCTGCTTGAGATGAAGAGTGGCATAAGTTATTGACATGCCCCTAGCAATTCCTAAATCAGCATGAAGCAACTCATTAAAAAAGTTCTATCCAATAGCATGGGGAAAACTCATCAATGCAGAGTTTAAAAATTTGTACTTTTTACCGAATATTATCAGGTCCATGAAATGATGAGAACTGAAGATTTCTGTGCTGTGGGATATAATGCATTGAGCCCGTTGAAAGTAAACAGACGTTTCAGAGGAAAATGTCACGTCTATATCACTTGCCACCTGCTTTATGCTTATTTATTACTTGGCTTGTTCTTCTGCCCTCAAGATGGAGACAATACTTTCCTACGAAACGTCGATTGACTTTCATGGAAGCAGGTGTTTTCACACTGGTATCTTTCTCAGCTTATTTGACCCTAAAGATGGAGGCGATGTTTCTCCGAAACGTCGATCGACTTTCAACGGACAACACGGTGTCATATCCCAGAAGATAATACTCTTCTTCAACGTTACATTACTAATTTCTGATTTATATTACGGATATCTGAGAACAAAGTAATGAGGGAGATTTTGTCCCTGAAATGGAAGTAAAAATTATGGAGAAAAATTCTTATTGAGGATATTCATAAGTACAGATCTTCACCTAATAACTAACTACATGGAGCAGAGCTCTTCTTGAGAAGCCACTAGTTGTGCAGCTACTCAAGAATTTCCCAACATTTTATGGAACCCTAATCTTCATTACCGAGTTCACAAGAGCCCTCCACTGGTCCCTATCCTCAACCAAGATCAATCCAGCCCATAGCACCGCATCCTATCTAAGTTCCATTTTAATGTTGTCTACCCACCTACGTCTTGGTCTTCCTGGTGTTCTATGTTCTAAGAATATTCCTCATGCTCATTTCTGTTAGAGGCTGAGTCGAACCCCAGAGCCATAGTGCGGCTGGAAGGATGAGGTAAATTGAAAGGATCCACCTCATCGGGATTCGATCCCATGACCTTGCGGCTTGTAGCATAGTGCCTCAACTAACTCCGCTACTGCGTGCCCCTTATTGAAGAAATATATTGCGACTATTTTGAGTGAAATGAAATGGTTAAGAATAGGGTTCAATGGTGGGATATCTAAAGTACTGTAATGAACATTCGGGTTCTGTAACAGGAGGACGTTTCGTCACAGACTGAGTAAATACAGACTTATTCGGGCAACAACTGGAAGAAAGGGCTATCTTTGTTTCGGACCAAGATCAAGTCTCAGCATGTGAAATCATCATAATTGAAGTAATTAGTGAATTTGAGGAGTAAACAAGGGAAGGCTTGAGGAAATTCAGCAATGATTAAGCAAATAATTTGCATTCTTTACCTAACAGGATCCAAGAATCAATAAGGAGATAGGTGGACATGTAGCACACATGGAAGAATTGAGAAAAGCGTAAGATCATTTATCGTCTATTACCAGGTTATGTGAAAGAACCCTATGCCGATGCCTCAGTCTTGAATATTGGGACACCTGCCGTCATTTCGTCTCCATTCCAAAGTTATTAGAACATCCATGATGAATGAGAACGTTTTAGTATTGTAGCGTGCACAGCCGTTGCTATGCAATGACTGCGAGATAGGCGAATGAAGGACGGCGGATTCTAGACAACGGATCAGTAAACACGTTCCCGCGGCAAAGAACACACATGAAACAACAGAGTTACTGTTGGAAACTGTATTCTCTACCCAGGGCTTTCAAAGGCAAATGGGGTGACCCAGTCAGGGCCTTGTACAGGCGGGGTCGAATACCTACACAATAGCCCTGCGATTCGTAGGAGGCGACGAAAAGGGACCCAGTGCCTTGGGATATAACTGGGCCACCCTCTTCCTGGGGGATATGATTACTGGGACCTCACCCGCCAGATTGGGGTTAGTCTCGAATTTGAAGCAGTAAAATGCGGTCACTAGTTTCGCGGGGCTCGGACCTGAGAATGACTGCGCTGGAGATGAACAGCAGCAACTGTGAACGACAGACCCATCCTTTCGTCAGAGAGGATGTTACATAAGGACTATGACGGCAAGTGTTCAGTTGAAATAAAAAATGCTGGTCGTGAGTCTCAGAATGCTCGGCGCAAGGACGAACTCCCTACTCCCGACTCCCTACTCCCGACTCCCTACTCCCGACTCTGACCCAGTCAGATGAGAGTTGACTTCTGCATGGCAGGTTGAGAGAGATGCCGCTATAATTAAGTGGAGTGTTAACCAGGGGACAGCAACGTGAGGAGAGAAGCTGAAAAATCTCCATCGTGAGAGCTGTTACAAGCAACGACTAGTGAAGACACTGCAGGCTGGAGAAGATTTAGCGTGCAGCGGTTTGTATGAGTAAAGTATGGAACTCAGCGATGCTGTTATAGTTATTTGTGTTTACGACATGTAAGTGGTCACTAAATCTATTCACCATTCCATACCTCATCTACAGTCAGATATAAATCATGAAGTATATTTCTCATGGCCTTAAATTTATCTTACACGGCGTTGCATTGTTAACTGGTTTGGTAGGACATTGCTACAGATAACACGGTTCACATTTAAAGACTACTAAAACAGGCAATTCATTTTTAAATACATATGATACGAAAGGGGATAAGAATGTTCTCTGTACTTACCGACAACGTCTTGAAGCGTCGCTGACTCGCTGCAACTGATGAAGTGAGGGTAGAAGGCCACCATCATGAGACCACCGTTCTCAGCCTGCACATAGAGATGGAGCCTTATAATAGGGATTCGAAATCCAATCGCTGAATAAGTCCGAGCAACTGCGTGACATTAACTTTATTTTTCTTTGGCATTAGAGCCCCAGTGGGCCTAGGCCTACCTCCATGAACTTCTCCGTTCACTTAGGTTTTTCTAGATCTTACACATTCGGTAGGACTCCTTGGGCGGGTGAACAGCTCGTCGCAAGGCCTCTACCTGTACACAAGCACAGGAAAACGCACACAAACATCCATGCCCTGAGTGGGATTCGAATCCACGATCCCGGTTTCCAAGCGAGCGCAGACAGTACATGCCTTAGACCGCTCGGCTACCGTGACCGGCATGACATTAACTTAATTACTGTTTTACTGACTGACTTGAATCCCTCATTGGCAACTGAATAAATGGATGGCTTACTGAATGACTGGATTAACTATTTGACTTACTGATGGGCAGGCTCACTCATATATTGACTGACTAATTTACTGACAGGCCGACATACTACTAACTGGCTGGGTTACTGACATACTTATTTAGTAACTGACTTACATATTGCCTATTTGACTGATGATTCACACTCTGACTGATTCACTGGTATATTTTTTATTGCTAGTGGGATGGGACTAAGTCCCTTGTACTGCGGCCACTTCTGGCCTATTGTACCAGCCCCAGATGATAGGTGAGGGTGATTGTGGAGCAATTGATGGAATGAAGATTGGCAGGGGAAACCGAAGTACTCGGAGAAAACCTGCCCCAGCGCCACTTTGGCCCCCACAAAACCCACTTGGCCAGACCCGGGATCGAGCTCGAGCCTCCGCGGTGGGAAGCCAGCGACTAACCGCTTGAGCTATGGCGTGGCCCTACTAGCTAAGTAAGTATACCATACTACGCTATGTTATATTTCATTTGACTGGACTATAGCTTGTTGTTTGACCAAAATGGATTACGATTTGTTTACAGCGTCCAGACCGGCTCTGAAGCACACGCAATCACATAACCAATGGTATCGGAGACAATTTCTCCAGGAATAAAGAAAGAGGCCGGAGCGTGACACTGACTACTTGCCTCCATCTCGTACCGAGGTCAAGAAGAGTGGGAGTTATTCTACATTTTCCTTTATATCTTCATGGCATAATGCTTATTAATTAATTAGTTAAGCACAGGGACTTTACCTTTACCTTCTTCTTTGACTTATTTAAGCTCAGATTATAAGCGTTAGATTACAGGAAGATTAATGAATAAAAAGGAGACGATAAGAAAATAAACAGCTGTGGGCTAATTTGGAACATTCTGCTGGAATTTTACAATAGAGGCTGGGGGAGACGATAACAAACTTCAGGCCAGATTTCCGAAATCCGTGCCGGGCTGTGAACCCATACCGATCACGAAGCTGGAGCGCAGTCGACTCGAGAGTGACGCAAACACGACGAGCGTCCATGACAGCCTTAGTGACAGCAACATGTCTCCTGGTTGAGATCGCCAGAGGATGACGAAATATGATATCGGTTACAGCAAGATAATCTGTACTTATTTCTGGATGTCACAACTGTATTCACTTGGAATGACTGAGAAAGAACATGGAAAACTTCTATCAGTATAGACATTTGTCGTGGAGGACGCTCGGCACGCGTTCCTCTTGGATTTCAGAACAAAGACTTTTATTTGTAGGTTTTGGACGAGACATGAACTCTTTGTCCTACGGCTTCATATAGTCTCATTGAAACAACCCTTGATGATACTTAAGCACGGAATGTTGGTGGAATGAAAATTGGCAGGGGAAAACGATGCGCTCCTAGAGCCTGCATCCGTATAACTTTGTTCAATATAAATTCCATGTAGATTACGCTAGGGTCAAACTCAGATATCCGCGGCGAGGGGTCAGCCACTACTGTCTTGAGCTATGGCGTGGGGATAGCTCAGTCGGTGGGGATAGCTCAGTCGGTATAGCGACTGGCTGCGGGCTGTACGACCGAGGGGTCGGAGTTACGGACCGACTTTGAGGCCCACCCAGCCTCCTATCCAATGGGTACCGGGGTCTTTTTCCCAGGGGGTAAAGCGGCAGGGGCGTGAAGCTGACCATTCACCTACAACCAGGGTCGAGGTCAAGAAAATCTGGATGTATACATCCACTCCCCCATATGTCTTCATTGAACAGCGCTTAATTAGTTAAGCACAGGGACAACTTTACCTATTCACTGTCTGTCGAAAACATCTCTGACCGTACATCACATCTTGAGTAGGCAACCTTACTGGAAAAAGTCCCAGATGTTCAAAAAGAACTCTGGTCTGGAGATTTTGGATCCCATTGTATATTGTAAGTAAAATTTTATAATTTTCTAACAATGACGCAACGAACTACGTCATTATTTGATGACGACGCTGCCTCGAAGATGCTCCCGACAGACTATAACTGTCTGAGATAGGCACGGCCCAAATAATATGACGTATAGATCCGTTGCTAGGCAACGACTCGGTAAACGCATTCCAGCCGGAGCCAACGCTCGCAAAAATATGATGCCTATTGCTAGGCAACGGATCACTATACAAGCCTTCTCAAAAATAGAAAGGTTCTGTTTTCTGCGTGGCCTGTGCCAAGAGACTATAATGGGCCAAAGAAGGTCATTTGAGTTGGTTGCTGTCGGAGGTTGAGGAAGTTATTTTCAGTTAGTAGTTGTCGTGAAATGGGACAAGTTCTGGGGATGGAAGTCTAAAGTGACTGAGAAGAAATGGCAAGGAAGGAATTAGGCTGTGGAAAGAAGACTTCACTTGTGATTTGAAGTGACAGTGAGACTGTTATATATCCGTTGCCAGGTTA